AAAGCAATAGCAAAATAATTTTTGAATAATCTAATAACTTAATTTATTATATGATGCCTTGTAAACTTTTGTTTAATTAGCTAATATGAGTTAATTGCTTATGATGTATATTAAATGCTTTACAATATATTAATAAAATGCTAAATCAGTTCTCATTTGTACATTACTTGAACTATTTAATAACTACTGTTTCTGGTTTCTAGTATGACTATATCATACAGCTACCTGTAACTGTTATACATTTCAGTTTCACAGCCTATCATATGAATGTTTTGTTACACATGTTGAAAAAGTCGATTCTATGATAGGTTTGATGGCACACAACTTTGCCAGACTATCTTACTAGAACTATTGTAATACCAAGAAATTGGGATCTTACTATCAGTAAGGCTTTGATCAAGGCATAATACGGCTTGGTCCAAGTAATTTATAGTCAAATAAAGCTCTAGATTATATTACAGGTTTCTTATATCTTACCCAGGTATGCTACCAAAATTTTACTATTATATGATGATCAAAAAATTCTTTAAAGTGCATTTAGTTTAGGGTTAGCATTTCTAATAAAATGAGGCACTAATGGAGTTTATAGTAAAAGTGCTTAAAGAATTTTTTTTGTTAGAGTGCAAAAGGGTTTTTATGCAAATTTTTGAGAAATAAGTGATTGTTGAAAAATGAATGTTTTGTTTTGATCTTTAACATTTGTAATGTTACATTAAAACGAGACTCACTATTAGATGATCATCATATGTAAGTAAAAATTTGTTGGAAAAAGCCTTTGGACACCTACTAGATCACAGGATTTTACTTTAGGCTAGATATATTGGCACATGACAGGTTTTAGAATAAGTACAAAAATTACCTGAATTGCTGAATTGGTAGAGCTAGCAGGTGTTGGTAGTTGGTTTCTTATTATGAAGTTACGTGAACACAGGTTTAGCAATTTCGAGCAGTTGTTATATGGTTTCGATTACAAACCTAATCACTTTAAGAATAAGATATATATAGTGCCTAGTTATTAATTTAAACTCTTTTTTTATTTTTACTAATTATTAGTACTAGGCCTACAAAAGTTACCAGAACAAGAAAATATCGATTTAATTTTATTCAAGTTTGAGTATTAGCGAATAAAGGGAGATTTATCAGAAGACTACTTCAACTTTATTATTTTTTTTTTAAGTATTTGAGCCTTCTCTAGTTTTGTCTTTATCTTGGTAAGAAATTCATTCTTTATATACATTTTTTTTCATATAAGACAACATTTAAAAGTTACTAACTTTACTAACATCTATTTGGTTTCTTCCCTCCTATATCTATACTACTTTATTTACATCATGAAATTCACTAACAACTGTCGCATTCAAGAAGTTTTAAACTTAAACATGACATTACACAGGGCCATGTCTTTTTGAAAGGGTTGATGTACACTTATTTGTGCTAGTAATACAAATTCAAATAAGAAAAATATCTTATGTAGATCGTAAGATCAAGATGTAACTGCCAGTTTAACATAAAAATGATAGTTTTTTTAAAAATAGCTGCTAACCCAAAATTCTACATAAGAAACTATTTAATAAAAAAAATTACTCAAAAAATTTTAGTATAAATTAAGCAGTATTCTTATCCCAATTTTAACCCTAGAGTGTGAGTCTTATGCGTTATTTATGTAAATAAAAAATAACAGATTTTTTCCTTTTTTGGATTGTATCACTGGCAAAATAAGTAAATTCACATGTGAACAGACAGAAATTTTATGTTTCTAATATTATTAGAAAGGATTTAATGCTTTGAAAATTGATTGTTGACATGGCATAGAAAGAACTGGGATGAATATAATCATTTTTAAAATTGTCAGTTTGTTTATTTATTTCATTTATCTCACCTTGATAAACCTTTGAAGATCAAAGTCATTTTATTATCTTCATCACTTTCGGCATTTGTTGCAGCCATCTTAAAAATGTATATAAAAAAGACGAATTTGCCTAAGTGAAAGAACAAGATCTTTGGAATTAATAATAAAAATAAATGATAAATATATTGCCTTTACCTCTGAATAATTAACCTGTGACTTATAAAATCTAATAATTAATGAGGCTCAAAACATGACACAATTATATGAAAAATACACGAAATGCAGTTTATTACATTATGAATCATGGACAGCATTTCAGACATGAAAGGACATACAGAATGTTAAAGGGGCTGTTATAATAAATATTAAATATTGTTAAAAATAAGAAGAAGATATAGTTTTATTAAATAACAAATGTAATATATGTAATAAGATATTTGTAAGAAGTGAAAATTAATATTATAAATAAAGGCTGGAATGGTCTTTAAGAATGGGAGTGCCTTGTTTGCTTTACTAAATAATAAGTCCAAATCTTATAAATCATCCATAATATTATGCTATTACTATTATTATCATAAACCCTATAAATGCTATAAAAATTGTTGTTCATTTAAGTTATTGATCACATGACCTAGCTTATCTGACTTGCTAACTTAAGTAATCAAACCTTAATCATGCATCAGGTAAATTCCACTTTCATAAAGTTATCTATCATTTTGTTACGCTAAATTCTGGATTGTGAAGTGACCGAGTGGCAGTTTTTTAACGTCATACAACTAAAAATGGCTTAATTAACTTTATATGAAGGAAGGGTTTCAAGCTAATAAGTTTAATATAATAAAAATTTAAATTACTTTTATTTTTAATTAGTAGCACTAATTTTAAAAAAAATTATTAAAAAAATTAATTAATATTAGTAAGAAAATCAACATACTGATTTTATCAGAATCATAACTTCATATGATCATGACTTACTCTAAATAAATGGCTTGAAATATTGTTTATTCACAAATTAGAGAAATTTTAAAAAACTTAAGTAACAAATTAGGAGTTAGTTTAGAGAACAATAAATAAAAGAAACTAAATAAATAAATACTTATATATTCGACCAAATCATATGCCTTAGCTAAGAAGGTCTTGAATCATCAGAATTATTTAGTGTTTTTAGAAAGATCATTTCTTCCTGTGATGATATAATTAAAACATCAGTCAAAATCAGGAGTAAGTAAAATATAAAGGGAGTACAATATGCAATGTTATTGTATAAATAATAAGTTATTAGTATAGTTAAAAGGATTTATTATATAAAAATTTTTTTTAAAAAAAAAAAAAATTCAGAAACTTATAATAGACATGTAATTTATAAAATAAATAACCAAAATAGCTACCATGATACTCAAAGAAAATGTGAGAAAAGAAAGAATGAGAACTTTTATGAATACGAAACACAACTTGCTCGAGATCATGAAAAAAAACATGAAAAAAGGGCAGCAGAAACTACTGAAGAGCAGGAGAGGTGTTTGGCCAGTAACTGAAACTGAAAATGTCGCAAGGAAATGCATGAAACTAATGAATTGAATATTATTAATAAGCAATTAAACCAAAATATAGATTAACAGAATAAGCTTAGTAAAACAGAAAGTAGTATGACAACATGTGTCAAGCCACTCTCTGCTACTGTTCTCTGTAATATTGATCGAGATATGTTATGAAATTTTCGGAATAAAATAGATAAACTCAAACATACACTTTGCATTATATGCAATGAGAGGTTTTCATCCATAGTGTTTGTCATGAAAAAATGTCATCGATGTTACAGTGAGAAGACCTTACTAAAAAGGTTTTCAGCTGATAACAATATGGATCCGGAAGAGGTATCTGAAGAATTACAAAATCTTACTGACATAGAAAAAATGCTTATCACACAAGTCTTTCCTGTAATGTCAGTCTATAAACTTCATAGAGGCAATATGGGTACTGTGGCAATGTAATAAATTTCCCCCAGAATGTGCAAGAGTTCATCACTCACCTTTCTAGACACCCATTGTTGTTAGATATATTAGTTATACATCATTAGTCTGCAAATTCAGGATCATTCAGGAATTTTATTGTTCAGTAAGATAAAGTAGCTTCTGCATTGTATTAGTTAAAAGCAAATAACATTTATTATGCTGAAATTATTATTGATAATAAAATCCTTGAATAATTATTTACTGATGGCACAATCAAGGATCAAATTCCAGATAATGAAATAATTGCAAAAGAGTCTAACAATGAAAATGATCATGATGATATCAATGATATGATTTTACATATCTTCATTCTATTCCTTCTGTCAACTAATTGTAAAGAAATTGCCATTAATGAAACCCTTAGTTGTATTCAAAATGAGCATCATCCTATAGCCTGGCCACATATTAACGATAATCCTATTAATGAATTTAGAACTTCAGACTATATTGCACATGCATTCCTAACACTCTACCCAACAGGATGTGCTAATATTTAATCAGAATGGATTAGAGATATCAGCCTAGCAGCATATTTTAAGCATCTACTACAATACAAAGATAGATGATTTGCATGTCACAATCATTGGTGGTACTTTGTGTTAAATTCTTTAATGCGATAGCAGACACTACAAGAAGGCAAAATATATATTAAACAACAGTTAGATGATAAACAACTTACTGTTTAGGAAATCCAAAAGATGATTGCTCAAGGTGATAAATATATTGCAGATCATATTATGTGATATGGTGAGAGTTTACATAGATCATGGCAGTTTTGGATAGTACAGCATCATGAATTGTCTAATATAATTAAGCAAATAGGTTTGCATGGGCTTGTGTTCTTTACATTTAGTACTGCTTATTTGCACTGGCCAGAACTTCATTATCTCATGCCATCTAACAAAAACTTCACAGAAGAAACTGAAATGACCAGGCCTTATCATTAGAATGTAATAAATATTCCTCACATCATTGCCTAGTTTTTTAATAAATACTTTGAAACTTTTTTAAATGATGTGTTAAAGCATAGATGGAATTTAGAAGACTACTGGTATCGATTTGAATGACAACATCATGGCAGTGTACATGTGCATGAGATCAGAAAAATACAGAATGCATCTGAAATCAAATGGACATAGATGAAAGAAGATGAAAATGTAATAGAAGAAGTGGTGATGTACTTAGATTCTTTAGTTACTATGATTAATCCAGGCCTCAATGCACCTATTCCAAATTGCCATCTGTGTAAAAAGCGACTCGAAGAGCTTAAAGATGACTTGCAAGATTATACAGAATTGGTTAATAAACTACAGTGACACATGCGATATAGCCTCTCATATTGTCTTCGCATAAACAAAGCAGGTCAACAATTGTGCAGGTTTGGTTACTCTAAAGAAAATAGTGATTATACTATTATGCATGATGATAGAAATGACCAACCTAAGCTCATAACAGTGAGAAATGATCAATATATTAACATGCACAGCCAACTTCAGTTACAAAGTTGGTAAGCAAACATAGACTTAAAGCCAATTCTTAGTCTTCATGCCACTTTGCAATATATCTCTAAGTATGCAAGTAAAGCAAAACCACAATCAGCAACATTCTCTAAAATATTAAATCAGATCCTTCAAAATAGCAACCCTGATGATCAAGTAATATCATCAGTTTAGAGATTATTACTTCATAGTGTTGCTAAACATGACATTTCTTCTCAGAAGACCTGCCATTTACTTCTAGAGATTCCTTTTTACTACTCAAGTCACTTCTTTGTTTCTTTAAACCTAAATAAAGAAGCACCATAATGGCTTTGTAGCACTAATAGCAGTGAAAATAAGGCGAATGTTCAAATTAAAGATGTTGGAAGAACAGTAAAATTACTTTTAAAAATTTACTAAGAACAGCATACAGAATTTGAGAATTTCTCATTATTCTAGCTTAATTTAACACATAAATTTACTCAAAATCAGTAGAATAAATATAAACAAGAAAATATTGTGCACATCTTTTCACAGCTGTCACTCTCACATAATAGTCCACAATAGGTAAAATTTTGTCAAGTAAAAGTTCTTCTTCACATTCAGCATAGAAATATTAAGCAACTAACTGAAAATGGCACCATTGAGTGGTCAAACTTATTTACCTGTTATTATAAAGAAATTAATGCAGATGGAAATAACATACTTGGACTAGCAGTAGATAATGAAGATGAAATTACTGATAATAAAGATGAAGTAGAGAAAATTGAAGATGACGAACAGGAAGAATGTCAACATGACTAGATGTTGCTGGCAAAGATGGGTCCAAATGCAGTTATAGATAGTTCTTGTGACTTGGGGACCTGTGATATGGATCAGAATCATAGATGGGTTAATAATGCTAGACAATGCTATTGTGATACTAATCTTGCAAATATTAACTATTTCATAAGCCAAGCCTCTAGTAATAATCAAATAAATAATGCAAATTTAAATTCTGTTATTGTGGATTATTAGACTGTAAATGAAAAACAAATAGCAGTATTTAAACGGATAGAATCACATTTCTATAGCATTCTGGCAGGTTGTTAAGTTGAACTACTAAGAGTAATTATAATAGAAACTGCAAGGACAGGAAAGTTGTATTTGATAAAAGCAATTTGAGGCTTACTTATGCAGATGACAGGAATTGAGTCTATGTTACCAGTACTCGTACTTACACCGACAGGTGTTGCAGCCTTCAATATTAATGATAGAATGATTCACTCTGCACTTTCAATTACAATAAATTCTACTAATAATTTTGATATAGACAGTGAGTGATTGAAACAATTACAGGAAAGGTTACAAAGTGTAAAATACTTAATTATAAATGAAAAAAGTATGGTTAGGCATCAATTGCTCACTTTAATTGACATGAGGCTATGTCAAGCCTTTCTAGAGCAAAGAAATAAACTCTTTGGTGGCAGATCAGTTATTATGGTTGGTGATTTTGGTTAGCTTTCACCTGTACTTGATCTCTCAATGTATATTGACATTAAGAAAGACGCATTGTCTAATAATGGACATGCAGTATACAAACAATTTCTAGAGGTATACAAGCTTAATATAGTTCAGCAGCAATCCAGTAATTCTGAGGAACAATGGGCTTTTAGAGACATTCTTTTATGAATACGTGATGAAGAGTTGACAGTAGATGACTGGAGGATACTTAACACACAATTCAAGAAAAAATTAACAAGGGCTGAACATGACCAGTTTTCAGATGCTATATTTATCTTACCAAGATGGTCTGATGTAAATGCTGTAAATATAGATAAGTTTAGATTGTTAAACGTCCCTATTGCCAAAATTAATACTAAACATACTAGTGGTGTTGAAGTGAAAAGAGCAGACTCAGATACAGCACATGGTTTTGAAGTACAGCTGTTACTAACAAGAGGTGCATGAGTTATGTTGACTGCAAATATATAAACAGAAGCTGGTTTATTAATGGCTTATTAGGAACCATACATGATATATTATTCGAAGAACCAGGCTCTTCATGCATTCCTACAGCAGTTTTTATAAACTTTGATGATTACAAAGACCCTACAGTCACTAATGTAGAAGGCGAAAAAGTTGTTATGATTACTCCAATTTGACATAACTAGGAAGGTAAGTCTGAAACGATATGTTTTTATTTCCAGATTTCTGTCTATCTAGCATGGACAATTATGGTATATAAAAGCCAAAGGCTTATCTTGCCAAAGGCTTTTATAGACCTTGGTGGCAAAGAATTTGCAGCTGGTCTTTCATTCGTCACAACTTCTCAGGTCTATACTCTTAAGGATCTCCTTTTCAAACTGTTCAGTTTTGAAAGGCTGCAGAGAATTAAAGAGTGTAAAAGGCTACAAGAAAGGAAAAAAGAGAAGAAACAGTTAGTTTCTATGATACCTTAAAATTGAGAATAATATTTGATTAGAATAGGTAAATTGTATAAAACACAAGAAATAAAAATAAAAACTTAGATAAATATTGTTTAGACATCAGGTTGAATAGTTTAGTGCAACATGTTAGTTTATTTAATCGATTAACTTGTAATCTTATCATTATAAGCCACAAAAATATTACCAGAAATAAACTCACAGTTACAGAATTTTATAGTTAGGAATAGTATTCAATACACGTTACTCTCGATATAACAGACACTTGACATAACAGAGACTAAGTAAAATTTTAATATAATGGATACTTGATATAACAAAGACTAAGTAAAATCTTAATATAATGGTGGGTTTACTAATAAAACTTATGATAAAGTGGATTTTAAAAAATTGCTTACTATGTGCCTAAGGCACTACGTTATATTAAGAGTGATGTGTATTTGGTTTCTCAATTTGTTTTAATGTAAAGCAAAATATGAAAGGTTTATTTAAGTAAAGTTTTTTTTTAGATTACTCTAATAATGTAGTATCTAGTGTGATAAATAATAAAGATCAGTTTTTTAAATACTATTTATTTTGTATATAATATGTATATAGATTGTAATATTTACAAACAAATAATATTTACAATAAATGCATAATATTTATAAACGCATAATATTTACAAACATATAAGAATGTTTTTGTTACACCAAAGTACAAATCTAGATACATGTGCAGACAGACAGAATTTTTCAAATTACATTTTTGATGTACAAACATAATATTGACAAATAGTAAATCAAAAATGTAACTTTTGATGCATCAAAAATATAACTTTAGCATTATCTTATATAGACATTAAGTGTCCTTTGCTATGCTTTAGACAAAAAAAAAAAACTTTGACTTGGTTATAAAGAGTTGGTATAGAATACTGGTTAGTCTAAAAGCAGTATTAGCAGGTTTCTAGTAGCTTGAAGCACATGTATAATTATGTTTATATTATTGTAATATTTCTAATCTACTGTATATTATTAACAAATCTGTTTAGAAAATAAATACTACTAACTGTTTTAGTAATTTTATATATTGATTTTTAGAAAAGAATAAACTAAATCACTTACTTTTTACAAAATTTTTCTTAAAGAAAAGTAAGGTAAGAGGTAAACCAACTTTGTAGCTTTTATAAGTTTTTAATCTTTTTAGATATTCCTTATAAGTTTTACAATTGTATAAAAATAATATATTTAACTTTGTTGTTTATTTAATAAAAAACTTTGACTTTTACTGATTACTTTTTCTATAGTCTCAGAACACTTTTAAACTATTATTACAAAGCTGCAACTTTTTTTTTAACTCTGTTTTAATGTCCAACTATATATATATAATAATTCTAAAAAATTTCCAGAAAGTTTTATATATTAATTATATTATTTTTTTGTAGTTCAGCTTTTTGAAAAGTTTGGTTTAAGAATAGAGGGCATATAGATCATTTTTATATAATTATATATAGTATATTAAAATTTTCATCTAAAATTGATATATGCTACTAATAAAGCTTTTTTATTTTTTAATTAATTAATAAAAAAATTTTATAATATTATAAATAAAATTATTTATCTATTATAGTAAAAT